GCCGCCAAGCTCAAGGCCGAGCTGCAGCTCTCCGTCTCGGTGCGCACCATCCAGCGAACCCTTTCTAGGGTGGACTGGTTGGTGTACACAAAGATGGAGAACACATTGCCTCTTAAGCCTGAGGACATGGCTGCCCGTAAGGCATGGGCCGGTGCCATGCTAGTGCGGAAAGACGCCGGGGTCGTCTGGGACACCATCATCTTCTCAGACGAGAAGAAGTGGAACCTAGACGGCCCCGACGGCTTTCAGCACTACTGGAGGGACCCAAGAAAGCCTCCCCGGCAAACCAAGAGGACGTCAAGCAGGAGGGGGCTCTGTGATGGTTTGGGCCGCGTTTTCTAAGCACGGAAAGTTGCAGCTAGTTGTGCTGAAGGGGAGACAAAACTCAGAAGATTATATCTACACTGTCTCTGAGTTTCTTCTCCCCTTCGCGCATCTAAACTATGGGACGGACTACATCTATCAGCAGGACAATGCAAGCATTCACGCGTCCAAGCGCACAAAAGAGTTTTTTCAAGAGCAAGAAGTTCAGGTATTAGACTGGCCGTCCAAGTCTCCAGACCTGAACCCCATAGAAAACTTGTGGTCTATAATGAGTAGAAGGGTATATAATAATGGAAAACAATTTGATAGCGTAGCAGAGCTTACTGCTGCGCTCTTTGAGGCGTGGGATTCAATACCCACCGCTCTGCTGGAGTCGCTAATCGAGTTCATGCCGCGCCGATGCCTAGAAGTTCTCGATAAGAAAGGAAATAGGACCCATTATTGAGGTACAAATATACTTGATTTTTGTATGGTGGAGGTGGCCGATCTAATCTGTCGTAGTGCGAAAACCGTTGCTCTCTATGCTAGCCACTCGATAGACTGCCAATTCTTGCTCGTTAGCACAAACACCGCCTTGCCCTAAATTACCTCTAAAACATATCTAAATAGCGCCCTCCAACTCCTAAAATTGACGAAGTTACGGCCACCGACGTGGGTGGCCGATCCATCCTGTCGCGGAGTGTACTACTAGTAGTATTAACAATTTAAAGTTCACTTCAACAAGAATGCCTTATGTTTCTTGTTTCTGTTGTGTTGAGGGCTCTAAACCATTAAGGAGAGATATCATGTTCGATGTCTATCTACTTGGACTGAGTACGAGGGCGACGAGAGGTCTTAGGACGGCGCTTAGACGCACTAGAAGGTGTTGAAGGTCGACGCGTGTGGTGGTGGTTGGCACGTGGCGTCATCGGTTCCGAGTTCTCCGATGTAGTAGAAGCGTCCTCGCTAGCGTCCGTATTCAACAGCACACGACGCGACATCTTACCGGACGCTCCGTCCTGCAGACACTCGAACTCCATCTCCTGTCCCTCTGACACGACGTCGTGAATGTTGCTTACCTTGTCGCGCAAGAGCTCCGAGATGTGCACGAAACCACGCTTACCAGAAGAAGACTCGAGGATAGCACCAAAGTCCATGACCTGCGTTACACGCATGGTGTAGCGCTCACCCTTACGGAAGAAGAATGCCCGATCCTTGTTTGAGCCTTGGTTATCATTGTCACGATTGTTGTTACTGTCGTTGTTGTTTCCACGTGGGCTTGTGCTGGCAAAGTCCGCGAGTTCTGTCTGGATCCAGTCGCGAGCCTTTTCCGCGTCTCCAGCTGCACCCACAACGCGCACAATGCCTTCACGGCGATCCACAATGCTCACCGAGACATTGAAACGCGACTCGAGGTCGCGGATGTTGCTGCCTCCGACACCAATCAGTGCTCCAATCAAGTTCGTTGGGATCACGCACTCCATACTCACGTTAGGCAGTGCACTGCCACTGGACTTGAGGGACGCACGCGGCTCAGCAAGCTCATTGCTCATACGACGCAAGATATGCAGACGGGCATGCTTGGCTTCGCGCAGTCCCTCCTTCAGCACGGAAAGCGGTACACCGCCGGGAAGCTTCACGTCCAGCTGCATAGCTGTCACACCAGACGTCGTGCCTGCCACCTTGAAGTCCATGTCACCGTAGTGATCTTCAGAGCCAAGGATGTCCGTCACCAACTGGTAACCACCTTCCTCGATGCGCTTCTCCTGGCCCGCAAATGGGTCACCAGCAGTAACGAGACCGATGGCGATACCTGCAACAGCACGGCGAACGGGAACTCCAGCGTCCATGAGGGCAAGAGAAACACCACATACCGTAGCCATAGAGGACGAGCCGTCGGAACCCACCACCTCTGAGGTCATGCGGATAGTGTACGGGAACTCGGTAATAGACGGCAGAATAGGCAGCACGGCCTTCTCGGCCAGAGCGCCATGGCCGATCATACGGCGGTTGGTTCCTCCAACTCGGCCGGTCTCGTTCACACAGAATGGTGGAAACTCGTAATGCAGCATGGCGTGCTTGAAAGGCGCGGGGGCATCAGGCTCAGCCTGTTCACGAGCTTCGTGCAGTGCACCACGAAGACGAATGCCACGCTCTAGAGGCCCCAGCGTCACGGAGCACAGTGTCTGTGTTTCACCACGTGCGAATAAAGAGGAACCGTGGGCCATGGGCAGCACAGCAGCCTCCATCTCGAGCGGACGCACGATGCGAACAGGTCGGCCATCGAGTCGCACAGGTCTGTTCTTCTGTGTCTCCGACGCAATGGCCAGAATACGCTCACGCAGCACACGCTGGAACGTGTCGTGAGCTGCACGCTGGATGGCAGCGTCGTTCACAAGAGGACTCGCGTCATCAAAGTGCTGACGCATACCAGCGAGCATCTTGTTGTAAACCTCACGCTCTCCCTCCTGGCGAGCAAGTTTATTGACACGGCCACTCGCGATCAACGCCTCGGCATCAGCACGTCCCAATTCCTCTGCCTTGGCCCACACTTCCGGCGGAATGAACAGCGGCGAGTACACGCGCTTCGTCTTGCCATGTTCTGCTACTAGTCTCTTCTGCTCCTCAATCGCTGACAGAACATTAGAGTGTGCCAGATCCAGCGCCTCATCAAGACGCGCCTCCGTCACCTCGTCGCCTGACGCTTCCACCATAACAGCACGCTCGGCCGTACCAGCATACAGAACGTCCATCGTAGCTGCTTCACGCTGCGGAGCAGTGGGGTTGACCACCAAATGCCCATCCACCTCAACTACGCGCACACAGCCAACCGGTCCATTCCATGGGATGTCGGACATGCTCAGCGCCGCCGACGTAGAGTTGACGGCCACAACGAGCGGGTCGTTGTTAGGGTCATATGACTGCACTGTCGCTAGCACTTGCGTATCCTCGCAATAGTCGCGTGGGAACAGTGGACGGATGGAGCGGTCCACTACGCGAGACTGCAGTATTTCCTCGTCGTTGCCGGTGAACTCGCGGCGCTTCTGGTTATCCGGGATGAGACCCACAGCGTGTGACTTGACGCGGAAGTCCACAGTGAGTGGCAGAAAGTCACGATGGGCTGAGCTTCCATTGGCTGACGGGTTGCCATTGTGGTCGCCACTCACGACCGTCGTGAGCAGCACGGTCCGGCCACAAGACGCAAGTACGGCGCCATCCGCGAGCTTGGCGAGCTTGCCAACATTGTACGAAGTGGCATCTAAGCTACCGACCACCAATTCCTTCTCCTTGTTGGGCTTCTGAGGCTGAGTTTGATTCTGGTTGCTCTCCGTCGGCTTCGGTTGTTGCTGCGCTGCAATAGCCTTAGCGGACTCCTGCTCCTCTTCCGACGGCTTCTTACTACCGAAAATCAAGTCACGCAATCCTAGAAATGTGCGGCTCTGAGGTGCAGCACTAGCGTGAGGAACGTGGTGGTGAGCTGCAGAGACGGTGGCGCGACGAGCCACAGCCGCAGCCGGCAAGCGACGAGCGGCGGACAGCATCTTGAACAAGATGATCAATTGTGCGGCAACTGTGGCTCACCAACCACATGAACGAATGTACAAAACACCAAACAGCTGGATAAAGAATCCAACCATGATTGGATAAAGCAACTTTTTTTAGAGTCGTGTGGCGCACACCAGCTTTCTTTCCTGGTCACAACCGAAAAGCCCAGTCCGTCCGCACCAAGCAAGGCGCTGACCGACCCCCTTCGCCCCAAGACTCCCCCAGACCAGATCAGCAATATGGGCACTCGTGTATACGTGGGCGGACTTCCGCGCGACGCTACTTCGCGCGAGATCCAGGACGGCTTCAGCCGCTACGGTCACGTGTCCAACATTTGGGTGGCGCGCAACCCGCCCGGTTTCGCTTTCGTGGTGAGTTGAGCTGCTTCTTCCCTCTCGGCGCGGGACCTCTCTCGCATGATGGCGCGCATTTTATCCCTCTTCCTCTCTCTACTCCTCCCCCTCTTCCCGCCTCATCTGCGTCGGTACAGCGGCATCGATGTGCGTCCAAGCAGTCTGAGGGTGACGGTCTGTTGGTGACAATGTGTGTATTAGTTGTGTGTTTGTGTGCTATACATGTGTGTTTACATGTTGACTGTTGCCATCTTGACCGTCGCCGCCGAGTCTTCAGCTTGATGATGGTGGTTTCGCCTTCCCATCTCCGTGTAAGATGACGTCGACGTCTTCGTCGCCTGCTGCTACTGCTGTGGGTAACCTAAAACCGTCTTCGGTGCTTCCTTCCACCGCTGGAGTGAGAGATAGAGAAGAGCGTCGATCGCCACACGACGTGCCATCATGCTGCGCTTCGCGTCGCCTTCATCCCGCGCCTTCATCTGCATCATCATCTTCTGTTCCCGATCCGAACCATACCAACCAACGCCTCTCCAACGTCGTCCTCCCCATATGCTACCCCTCCCACCTCTTCTAGGACTTCGAAGACCCGCGTGACGCTGATGATGCTATTCGCTCCATGGACGGCCGCGACTTCTTGGGTGGACGGTAAGGAGCTCCGACTATCTAGTTATCTGTTGATCTTGACGTCTTTATGTGTTATACTTGACCAGCATTCGTGTTGAGCTCGCTCGTGGTGGCAGCCGTCGCGATGGCGGTGGCGGTGGCCGTCGTGGAGATGATGACCGCTACGGCCGTGGTGGTGACCGTTTCGAGCGTGGTAAGCTCGACAGCTTAGTTGCTAGTCGTTTATTGGGGTCCTTATTCTCACAATTTGGTGTGCTTTGACAGGTCGCAACCCGCCCCAGCGTACCGAATACCGCGTGCGTGTGACGGACCTACCGCGTGATGTGGACTGGCGTAACGTGAAGGACTTCCTCCGCACGGGTGGCGAAGTCACCTACTGCAACATCGAGGCTGATGGCTCGGCGTAAGTGCCTAGCGTTATTATCTCGTCTGTTAGACTGAAAGTTGTAATAGTTCTGACATGGTGCATGGTCTTGATGTCTGTGCTTTAGTATCGCTGAGTTCCAGACCAAGGAGGACATGGAGGACGCCGTTAAGAAGCTGGACGATACCGAGTTCCGCGGAAGCTACGTGCGTGTTGCGCCTGAGGGAGACTCGAGCCGTCGCTCTCGCTCTCGCTCCCCTGCTCGTGGCCGTTCGCCGAGCCGTCGCTCGCGTTCACGCTCGCCTGCTGCCCGTAAGGACTCCCCGCGCCGTTCGCGCTCCAGATCAGCCTCGCCGGCTGCTGGTCGCTCGCCCACTCGCAAGAACTCGGCTTAAGTTGGTGTCGAAAGAAGGCTCGAGGCCTGCTAAAGTCAGCACCGAGAGCCAAGAGGATCTTTGCTTTCTCACATGTGCAATGGTTGACAGGCTAAACATATTTTGTTGCCCCACGTCAAAAGAACAAGCACATTAATACGGTGGCAATAGATTCCTGTCTTATCACTTTTTACGCATGCTCTAGTGTCTGCTACTACTACTTTATTGAATTGCATTTTGTCACTGAAGTATCAATGACATTTCATTGATACTTCAAGTACTGTGGATTCCTGCTGCGTATCCAAAAGGGCACAATTTAAGCGTGAATTTGGTTTGGCTAGCTCAGCGCTCATGGATCTAACAAAACTCGAAGCACCTGTATAGTCTGTGGCATAACGCCGACTGGCTCGATGTGATCGCCAGGCAATCTACTGTAGACCGATAGTGCAGCATACGAACAACCCAAAACGGTTTCTCCATACAACAAAAAGCGATAAACCTGCGGATCAAGGTGATGGTATTTGTGACTCCCCTGACTTCCCACTGCGTCCGTCCGTCCACATTAGCGAGCGAGCAGATATAGGGGAAGCTGTTACGAAAGACTCCCTGCTGTGTTGTGCAGCTCAAACCCCCTGCTGATATTCCTCTACAGTGGATCTACCACCTGCCTCTCAACGCTGAAAAAGCTTAAGAAGACCGAGCTTTATTATGCGCCGCACTTGCATGTTGCCACACCTAAATATCCTTGCGCTGGAGTCCTGTAAAGTAGCAAACATTCATCACACGGTCAGTCACTGCTGTTGACAGAGCTTACGGAGTTGTCGTACCAGGAGGCAGGGACTGCGTGAGCTTGTCGGCCTTCTCCGTGTCGGTCACGCAGAGCGTGTACAGGTACTTGGAGCAGCGGATTTTGAACTTGACGACCTTGTCGCTCTTTTTGATCTTCACCGAGCGGGCATCTTTGCGGCGCGCCTTCTGCAGGAAGTCACGGATGTCGGTGATCTGCTTCGGCTGTGAATAAGACACACATGTCTTTCGTTAGCTGTCTGTCTGTATCGTGAAATCAACGAGGCAAGCATTTCGCCTCCATACCATTTTGTTGCGTTGGTCTTCTAAACTTAACTAAAGAGGACTAGCAGAGTCTGCATCAGGGCGGAGCCTGGGCACCATCGATTGGCAGGGAACGTCTCCAAGCCGATTCGTCAAAATACAATTCGTAAAAATGTTTTGATTTGCTCAAATTCGGACTTTTTACAAGGCTTTGCAGTCACCTTTTGTCACGTAAAAATAGTTTGTCCAGCTAAAACTCGTGTGCAAATCTGTTTTAGTCCAGATTGGTTGAATCTGTAACTTGCTCCGAAAACCAAGAAAAACGTTACTGATAAGGAAGCGAGTGTCTTCGAGGTGGCGATATTACTGCAGTCTACTTTCTAGACGTATTACTGTAATACAGTTGACATTGTATTGAGGCTCGGTGCTGGGTTATGGCATCTCAGATTCAAGTTTGTTAGAGCGTGGCCCAATGACGGACCGCAGACGATCCTCTCGGTAGTAATCCATGGCTTGGAATACTCCCTCAATAGCAATAGATTAGGGTTCCCGTTGACCAGTTGCCTATAAACCCTAGATATTATTCCGTCTCACCCCTTAGTTGTAAAATGGAATACATTAGATATATTCCTATTCTGGGGTCCTTAACTATGCAGTCATCACTGCACAAGAGCATTATTGCTGCCATGTCCGATCCGAATGTTGAACCGATGAAGCCTATTCTTTTGACTACTTTGGACGTGATTCGAGCTTCTGCCTTCAGTCGAATTGCCTCATCCGCGACGATGACACCCTTCTCTTAACACCAGGAGACCCTACTGACAGGAGCTTGTCGAGTTTAGGATGGCGCACCGCGTGCCGCAATTATGTGGCCAACTGCGAGACCGGAGGTGACTCCAGCGCTTTCTGCGCATTAATAGCTGCCAGATCATTGCTTGTGATGAACCAGACGAAGATCGTAGATTCTGTGAACTCGTGAATCTAACTCTGTTTGGGACGAATTAGGGATGTGAGCATGGTGCTAGCATATTTGTACAGCAGTCGTTGAGTGTTGGTGAGTGTGAGGTGGACTGGCTGGGCAAGAGAGGAGGGTATCGAGGCAAAATTGGCAATAGAATGGCAAAACAGATGAATCGCCAGATACATCAATTGTTCTCTGGATATTT